GAACCTGTGGCAGCAGTTCGGCACGCGATTACAGTTCAGTTCATCGTATCACCCCGAAACCGACGGACAGACCGAACGGACAAACCAGACCATGGAACAGCTCATTAGGGCCACGTGCGACGACCCAAACACGTGGGAACAGCAGCTGCCACTCATCGAATTCGCATACAACAACGCCCCATCCGCCACGACCCAACAGTCACCTTTTTACCTGAATCACGGACAAGACCCAACAGTACCTATGACCCCAAATCCCGACAACCCCGTTCCACGCGCACAACAGTTCGCCGAGATTTTGCAAGCAGCACGGACCAGAGCAGCAGAAGCAATAAAAAAATCAAATATCATCGCTAAACGCAACACTGACCGCCACCGCAGGCCTGTCACTTACCAACCCGACGACCTCGTTTTACTCGACACTCAAAACCTCCGCCTGCCCATCTCTCCCAAACTCCGCCCTCGATACTGTGGGCCATTTCGAATTAGCCATATGATAACACCTGTCACCACGCACCTCCTCCTCCCTGCTGGCTGGTACGTCAGCCCCTCGTTCCACGTCAGCCTGCTTCGCCCCTACGTACCAACCACCAGCAAACCACGAAATCGACCAGCCAGCATGGCACGACCGCCAACCGAGCCAATCATCACCCCCGACAAAATCCTGAGCCACAGAGTTCGCGACCTTCGAGGAGCCCGAAAGATCGAGTTCCTGATCCGCTGGAAAGACCGTACACCCACCGAGGACAACTGGGTTCCCCTGGATAGAATCGAAAACCACCCAGTTCTCACCGAGTATCTACGCAGCCGAAACTTCAGGGACGTCCACGCACTGTCGTAAGGAGGACCTCCTTAGGAGGGGGGGTAGTGTAAGGAAAATCACTTTTCCTACTTCGCATCCCTGCTCAACGCGTACATCACCGTAGCACCTCAGTCAGCACCGTTACCACTCGCGATCCTCGCATCGACAATCACCTTGCCATTTTCGCACATCGCACCCCGACCTCACGGCTCGGCTGGTAACCGCGGCTCCGGGCCTCCGCTTCGACACTTTCCCAACCTCTAGTCCCAGGCTCGTCGCGCGACAACCACAGTCCATTACCGTTACCACTGTAGTTTCGCTATATAGTCTTCGCTCATGCCTTCGCTCATTGTATTCTTGCTTCGATAGTGCAATGTCTCGTTCGTTCACCTCAATTGCACTCGTGACACCGATGCACTAGAGATGTTATTTCGTTTGATCTTTCGAATGGCGTACACTCCGCTCTGTAAAATTTAATATCAGCATGCTTTCCTCGAACGATTGTTCGCGAGGGTCTTGGGAGCATTCCGACGCTCGTAAGCGACGGCGATTGGCCGGCTCCATTTCGGGTAGCACAGAGATGGCTTCGCCTGTCGCTCCGAAACCGGCTCCCATTGGCCGAATCCGTTTCGGCCAGCCCGAATTGCCATTCGCACGCGCGGATTTGCATGCGAAATGCTTCGCGAGGGTTCTCCGAGGGACAGACCACTCGGAACGGCTCCGATTGGCCGGTGTCCGTCTCGGCGCGCTGGGGTTCGGCCCTCGCCTTCGGATTGGAGAGCGATGGGTTTCGCGAGCCAGGGCTGGGCCTGGGGAGGGCCGGGGTTGGGACCACAGCTGGGTGGCCCGGATCTCACTAGGGACCTGGGAGGGGGCGGGGGACTCCCTCTCGCGTTGGCGATTCCCAGCTGGGGGCCGCGACAGCCCTTTGCATCCGCGTGCGGCCCTGGTGGGAAACCCGTTTCCACCAGGAGGGGGCTCTGGTGGGATTCGACCCCACCAGGGCCCGGATGGACTGCCAGGAGCAGCGTGCTACACGAGGCCCTGGAGCAGCGTGCCCGGATGTAGCTGTAATGGATGCGAATCTCTCCAGCACAGCGATGCCAAAGGAACCATCCCAAGTGGGCAGGAGATAAGAAGTTGCCTTGGGACTGTGCTGACGACAACTGAGCGACCGAAAATCCACCGCTCAATTCCGCGCCAGAATCCAGCAGTAACACGCTGGCAGGAGCAAAGAAATCTACTGCGCCAATGAAATCGATCGTCCCCAGTGGGGTCACCCACATCAGCATTGAATACCACATGATGCCTTGTTTGAGCCCCTCCCGGTTTGCCTTGTGAAGGGGGCGTATAAGCTGTAACGAGGCAGTTCGCTTAAGTTCGTCAATTCGCACCTAGCTAAAAAGAATTAGCATGTGCTTATAAACAAGACCCTGCTACCTAGTTACCTAGTTTGACTTCAGTCTCTTCTGCTTGATTTCGGTCTCTTCTGCTTGACGCGCTTGTAATGTAGGTGCATGAAGCTGGGGAAACAACCTCGGGTGCAGCGTATCCATCCGGCGCAAGGCAAATTCGCGGCATGGGGTGAGCATCAGGTGTATGCACTTTGGCTAATGACAAACGAGCGCCCCTTCAGTGTAAGTTGAATAGTGACACGCTGCCATAAGCAGGGTGCCATACTGTACCGTATCCGCCACATCCGCCATGCTGTATTCTCCACGCAATTGTTCTGTCTTTACACTGTTTCCCGTTCCTTCAGGAGCTCAACAGTCGGTGTGTGGTAGGTGGCGGTTCCAAAGCAACGAAGTGAAGGTGTTTCACTTTTTACACCCTGTTTCTCACTACACTGAACTGTGCTGAAACTGATGGAAAACCTAGTTACCTTCGATTTGTCTGATTGAACCATACCTAGACTTAATCTAACCACCGTTAACCGTGCTTTTCCCATCTTGACTTCACTATAACCGAATTCACAATGGCGAGAAAGAGGGTGTATAAATATTTCTTTTCAGTCTCCGTGTTTACTCGATGCACAGAATGAACTGAATGTGATACTGTAAGGAAATTCCCTTTTCCTTACTTCGCGTCCCTGCTCAACGCGTACATCACTGTAGCACCTCAGTCAGCACCGTTACCACTCGCGACCATCGCATCATTCATCATCCCGCCCCTTTTCGCACATTCGCATCCCGACCTCACGGCTCGGCTGGTAAACCCGCGCTCCGGGCCTACGCTTCGACACTTTCCCAACCTCAGTCCCAGGCTCGTCGCGCGACAACCACAGTCCATTACCGTTACCACTATTGCTTCGCTATATAATCCTTCGCTCATGCCTTCGCTCATTTGTACTCCTGCTTCGATAGTGCAATTCTCGTTCGTTCACTCAATTGCACTCGTAACACTTGGTATTCAGAGCCTACGATCTCATCTCGGACCGCATCCACACCTTCGCTTCCCACTATCTCAATTTTTGGGGGGGTAGACGTACTCTCAGCGATACAGCACCGCCGCTCGTAGTGCTCTCTCGGAAGCACGCACGGCCACAGGACTGAGGCTCTCGCTGAGCTTGCCCGACACCCCTGCCATGGCTGATTTCACTATCGCCACGTTGACGCAGGAGCAACTCGATCGTCTCGTGCGACAGCTGGAGGAATCAGCGCTCGAAATCGCGACGCTCACGGCGGAACGTGACTCCGCCCGTCAACAGTCAACGGTGAACGCTCCGACAACTTCCCAAGCGCCAACCAATGTTTCTGTCCATTCGGAGGAGCCGATTGTTATCTCATCCGGCACACCAACGCAAAACAACAGCACGGGACAGCGCTCAGGCGCAGCCAGTGACGGCGCAGCCCAACCGATGCCCGGCATGGGAGGGAACAGGAATGCATCAAGCCCACGGGAGCCCCGAGAAGCCCGTCGGCACGTGGAGTTTGCGATGACAAGTGGAGGGAACGCCACGATGGCCCCAATGCCACTCAAGCCGCAACGCCCCCCCGCCCTGCTTCGACCCAAGCCAACGCGGTGGCCCGACAGTTCAATCGTGGGTCTTCACGATGAACGTGTTTTTCGACGCCAACTACGTCGAGTCGGACGCCGCCAAGATTCGGTATGCAGTTTCACTACTCAGGGGCCCCGCCATGGACTGGTGGCGAGTCATCGTGACATCGCCACGCGCCTACGAGCCACCGCCGCACGAGGAAGGGCCCTCGGGTCCAGCTGTCACCTGGAGTTCGTTCTGCGAAACAGCCCAATATAGCACGTGGGATGCGTGGTGCGCAGGGCTTCGGGCGCGTTTTGGACTCTAGCAGGTAAACCTAAGTACATGTTCGCCTGCGGATTTCTCGTCAAGTCATTCGGATTTCCCGCTTGGTTTTTCGTTGAGACATTCCGCGTCAAGTTCTGAACGGAACGTTGGAGAGGTGAGAAACGGTTTGAAGCGGTGAACTGACAGAACGCTCAAAAGCTTACAATACCGTGCTGGAACGCGGAATATCGAACAGAAAGCAAGCAGTTGCACCACGCTTAAGAAAATATCAGGGGAAATAGTGATCATGGAATGCTGACATGCATTGTGTGAAGAAAATATCAGGGCAGTCAGCAGCAAGGACATGGAGAGTGTCCATACTAAGAAAGAGGAAATTGTGTTCATAGAAAACAAGTGAAGGAATCAGTCAAGGAGTCAACGAACTCCTGAATTACGTAACACGACAGAATTTCTTCGATATCAACGGCCACTCAAAGGCGCTTGCCGAATCGCTCGTCGATGGTTACGCTTCTCCCGCATCGGCACTTCCGCGTTTTGTTCTTCCGCAGAAGTTACTGGTTTCTTTGGAATATCGTGTAACCATTATCGTAAAATAACGTACCTGTCGCGTTTAGCTATGGCAGCGGCTGCGGTGCTGCCAGCACCCACGCAGTGCAAAGCGGCTCGAGCCGTGGTGGCGGTAATGGAAGCGTACCGCGACGCGCGCGTGCAGTTCGTCATGAAAGTTGGCGAACTCGCGGTTTCGCCTCAGGTGCACCTTAATCTCAGTGTCTCTCAGCATCCGAGCTTCGATCTGCGAATTCATGGCGTATTCATGGCGAATTTCAGGCGAATTCATGGCGATTTCATGGCAAATTCGTGTCGAATTCATGGCGAATTCATGGTGCTGCTGGGTGAGGTTCATTCTTTGCGTGTCGCCAGCTCTATTGACTTCGAATGCGCTGTCCGCCCGCGTTTCTTCCCCGGCAGAACGCGGAGGCGCTGCTGTCGCTTGGCGCGCTGCAGCTGTTGCTGCCGCTCGCGCAGGACAGCATGGCGTCCGTGCGATCCGCTGCGACGCTGTCGCTGGGTCGCCTTGCGAATGTGTCGCATACGTGGTCGCACCACCTCGTGCAGCACAACGTGCTGCCGTCGCTCTGCAAAGCGCTCACGTCAGTCCTCCTCTTACTGAATCTATTTGAATGTGTTTTTAGAATTCGGGATTCGCCCGGCCAGTTGATCTCTCTGCAAGCCTCTCACGTCAGTCCTCCAGCTTTGTCAATCGTTTCGTCACGTCACACCACGTCACGGTGCTTGAATGTTTCATTTCCTGCGGTTCTCCTGCCATGTGCCACGCACGAGTGCGTCGCAACATGCTGGCTTCTTCATGCGAAGCACTCTCGTCGTTTCGTTCATCTTTCTCTCCCTCCAACCCCGCGACTTCCCTCTCCTCTCCTCCACCTCTCGTTTTCCCTCTCCTCTCCCTCCACTCTTGTCTTCCCCTCTCTTCTCCCTCTACCCCCAGCGGCACCAATCGCCACCACAAGCGCGCAGCAGCATATCTAGTCAAGGCCGTGTCGCGCCACGCTGGCGCTGAGCTGGCAGAGGCGGGCGTGCTGCCGTTGCTGACGGAGTGCCTTCTGGATGCCATGCTGGCGGTGCGGGAGACTGCTGCGTGCGCATTGGGCACGTGGCGAAGCACAGCGGTGACCTGGCGATGAGAGTGGTTGAGACGGGTGCAGTGCGGTTGCTGGTGACATGCCTTCAGGTGGGGTTCACAACAGCATTGGGACCTGGTCAGCAGTAACTCATGCCCTCGTTCATGAATGACCTGCTCTTTCAAAAGGCTCATGCTTGTGCCAGACATTGCCTTTCTCATGCTCTCATTACCTCTCCACACGTCCAGCTTTCTGCCCTTTGCCTTTCATTTCATCTTAATATATGTCCCCATGTCCCAATCCCGTGTCCTATACCTCTCATCTCCCATATCCCATCTCCCCATGTCTCATATCCTTATACCTCATGTCAGGACGAGGCTGTAGCGCGGATAGCCCTCTCAGTGCTGACTGGTGGCACGCCACTCGCTGCTGCATGCTACAGCCGTGGCCGATGCGGGCGGCATTACCGCCGCCGTCTCTCTGTTGGGATCACCTGACGTCAAGACAAGGCGTCAGGTGCTGTTCTCATATGCCTGTTGTTTTGAACGACTCGAACCTCGTCCCATGTATCCCATTGCCCACTCCCTGAACCCCTCTGTGATCACGGCTCCTTCTGCTCTGCACCACCACGCTTGCACCTTCCTTCCTCCTAACCCGCACGTGCCCTTCACTTCTCTCTGTGCGCGACGTTTGCTCCTGTCCTCTTCTACACAAACGCTTAACTTTTGCATCTCCACGCACCCTTCTGCAGCTTTTTTAACCGCTCTGCACCCTTGTGCCCCTTTCTGCTTCCCTGTCTCCCACCCATCTGCACCCCTCTGCACTTCTTACAGGTCTGCGTCTGCTTTCTACCATCGCCAGGCACTCTGAATCCCTCGCCCTGGTAAGCACTGCTCCTAACTTCCAAACCGTTCTGAACCGCCCTGAAACTGCTCTCAGTCCCTCGCCCTGGTAAGCACTGCTCCTAACTTCGCAAGCCGTTCTGAAACTTCCAGAACGTTCTGAACCGCTCTAAGCCGTTAACCTTGGTACAGCATAGCCTCCTGTCTTCCGGCACGACTCGTTCCCCTTACTCATTCCAACCCTTCTCTACCCACCCGTCTCCCCCAATCCCTCTTCCCCTACCCCCCCCCCTCTTCCCATCCCCCCTCCCGTTCCTCCTGTCCACTTTCCCTCTGTCCTTAAAATACCCCGCAGCAAGTGTTGGACCAACCAGGAGCATCTCGCCTGCTGCTCTGCCTGCACGACTCATCCCCTTCCCTGCGGGCGTCAGCAGCAGCGGCGGTGAGGGAAGGTGGCGAGGCAGGACCGGCAGCAGCAGGCGCTGGTGGGCATGGGGGGGCATTGGGCCGCTGCTGGATGCTGTAGGCACGTGGAGGGACGAAGGGGAGGGGGAGGCATGACCAAAGGCTCCGCCAAGGTTTCAGGTCAGTGACTTCAGGCCAAAGGCTTGCGCTTCCCTTGTGTTCTCTCTGGAATCTCTTTGCACTCTCCTAGGGGCATCAGCAGCAGCGACGGAGAGGAAAGGGCAGCAGCAGCAGGCTGGTGGGCATGGGGGGCATCGGGCTGCTGCTGGATGCTGTGGGCACGTGGAGGATGCAGGGGAAGGGGAGGGATCAGGGGAGGGGAAGGGGATGACGAGAGGCTCTGGTAAGTTCAGGTCCGGTAACTGATGCTTTTTTTAATCCCTTTTTGTGGCCTCTTTTCGATCTGTTTGTGGGTTGTCCTGTTCCATTCCTTTATTCCTGTTTGTGCAATGCTGCGACCGACCGTCATGTTGCTT